CTGAGCCTCACACCCATCCTCAGTCAGGAGATGAAGGCACTGGGGGTGCACAGCCCTGACCTTGAGCCATTATTGTCACTGTTGCCCACCATGGGCTGCACTTCTTAGTCCTTATAGGGCAGTGGGCTTGGGGTGCCCTACAGGGACAGGCTGGTTATCTGAGCTGTCAGAGGGCCTGACGCAGTTGGGAAGACAGGGCACCCAGGACGTATCCCTACAAAGCCTCATGCAGCCCAGCGGGGGAAGGGGCAAGTTCCCGCAGCTCCCTGTCCTGGGTCTGACCCTAGAACAGACTGTGGGTGCGATGGGAGCCCTGCTGGGCTGGGCGCTGCAGGACCTAACCATGCAAGGTGCCACTCTTCCTGGCCCTGGGTGGGTTGCTCCCCCAAAAGTGGACCCAGAAATGAATAGCTAGCTTTGGCCCACAGCCTCTCTCCACTGAGCTGGGAGCTGGCAGCATTCCCTTCTACAGAGCTCAGTTTACCCACAGCTTTGGTCTCTTCTAGCACAAAGGCACTAGCATTTGCACAGTGGCAGCGCTGATGCTGGCCGGCCCCATGTACCCCAGGCAGAGTACTCTGCATGTGACACTGCCCAAGAGTGCTGCAGAAGATCTGGAATCGTTGCCTCCCTACAGATGAGGACACTGGGGCCAGGGAGAGGGTAAGATGGCCAGTGGGCAGTGGAGCTGGGACTTGATCCTGGCTCACTCCCCTGCCCAGGGACCTGGCCCCGAGGGAGCTGGAAGCTGGCAATGGTGTAGTGTGGGGCAAGGAGCTTTGCTCCCATGGCACCAGCTTGCCCCAGCCGCCACCCAGCTGTTGGATGCACAGAGAGCTGGGGGAGGGGAGCAGCCAGGCCCCTTGGGCTTTGCCCAGACCCTTCCAAGGGCTGTCTTCACGTCCTTGCCTGCCCCAGCTCCGCCCTGCACAGGGTGGAACCAGGCCTCCCCTCGCCCCAGGGCCCCTGCCCACCCGAGGCCTGGCCTGCAGGGCCTGCTCAGCTCCAGCTGGCAGCAGTTCTGCTTCAGAGCAGGCGCCAGGCCCTCCAGGTGTCAGCACAGCTGGCACTGTAGCAGGGCCTCTGGCAGGAAGGCTGGGGCGCCAGCTGCTGTCCCTGGGGCACAATGTTTGCAGTGCCCTCGCCTCTGGAAGGGTCTTCCTCGAGTCCTCGGGTGGGAACATGCTGCAGCCAGGAAGCAGGCACTGGCTGTGGGGATGGGGGCCCACCCTGGGGCCGCGGCTTGCAGTGATGCTGAGATTTAGGCCTGACATGGATGCAGGGCCCCTCTCTATGCATCTGTCCCAGTCTCCTGTGGCCACAGTCAAGACAGCAATTTCCCACTCAAGATGACACTGCACTCCCTCCCCTGGGAAATGAGGGCCTCATGGCCACTGCGGAAACAGCTGTGTGTAACAGCCCACTGGTCCTCCTTCACTTCAGCCTCCCCTGCATGTGCTGCCCAGAGCTGGATGTCGCAGCCAGTGTCACCTGGCCCTGCTTACTCACAAAGCCTGGGCAACAGGTCAGAAAGACGGGCGAGGCAGGTGGAACCAGAAGAACAGGACAGGTAGCTGCGGGCCCCAGGAAGGAGGAGGGCGCAGGACCTGGGCTCAGCAGAGCTGGACCACGCAAGGGTACCTGGGCACTGATAGGAGCGGCTGGCAGGGAAACCCCAGGGAAGAACGGGGAGTCTGTTCTGAGGACAGTGTGAAGCCAGGCAAGCTTTGAACAGCTAAAGGACAGCACTTCAAAAAGATCTGTCTGACTAGGAGAGGCGAGGGCCGCACTGGGAAGGAGGAAAGGCAGAGATTGGTAGCCAAGGAACGGACATCAGATGGTTTGGCCGGGCAGCATGGGGGTGGCACTGCTGGCAAGGAAAGCTGCTGTCCAGCTGGCTTGGCGGTGCCCAGGGTCACTTCTGTGAGGGAAAACCTCTCCACCGGAGCTTTTCACACAGCTGCCAGGGTCAGAAGATGGCCCTGCCCCTGTCTGCCTCCCTCAGCCACCCATTGATCCTCTTGACCTCCTGACCTCCCAACTGGCCCCTCCTAGGAGCAGCAGGAATGAAGACAGCACAGCCTGACGCAGGCACGTCTGTGATGCCAGCACCCTGGAAGGCTGAGGCAGGAGGATTGCAAATCCAAGCCCAGCCCAAGCAACTCAGCAACTTAGACTGTGTGGCAGGCTGGTTATCCGATGATAAATTAAGGATGAAGCTCAATGCACAGGACCTGGGTTTAATTCCCAGTACTGAAAGAAAGAAAAAAAAAAAAAAAAAAAAAGCAGAGTGCGTGAGATTCCTGGCCCTGCAGAGCTCCAATCCCTCCAGCACCCCTCTTCTGGGGCAGGGTTGGCTCTGTGGGGTGCCCACACCTCCCACTCAGGCCCTCCCAAAGCCCAGACAAGGCCTGGGAGCCCTCCTGGCCCACATCTGATCAACGTGGGAAAGCTCAGGTGGGGCTGTGGTGCTCACCAGCCGCCCCAGCTCCTTAGGGCTGAAGCAGGAGGAGGCACAAGCTGGAGGGCTGGGCTGAGCAGCACACGCTGGCCTGCAGGCCTGGGGTAAGTGTAATGGCGGCACAGCCAGCACAGGAATGACGCAGGACCAGGTCTCAGTGCCCAGCACAGGTATGGGAGTGCCAAGGAAGCAAGCTTTTGCTGCCCAGCAGCTTCTCAGCGCTCCTGGTGCACAGAGCTGGCTGCACGGCCACAGGCCACACTGTGCTGCGACAGCTCACAGGGCCTCCTCCAAGAGCCACAAAGCCTTCTGGGAAGAGCAGCTACTCAGTTCCAGCTACAGTGGAACCCGTGCCGGGCTGTATCACTTGTGCATGCGCGCACTCTGTGTGTGTGTGTGTGTGTGTGTGTGTGTGTGTGTAGATAGCTCGAGTGCATATTTTATTTGTGCCTAAAACCAAAAACCATGCTGGGTGTGGTGGTGCACGCCTGTAATCTCAGCATTCTGGAGGCTGAGGCAAAAAGATCATTGCAAGTTCAAGCCCAGCCTGAACTACACAGCAGGACCCTATCTAAAAAAAAAAAAAAAAAAAAATCAAATAGCAACAAAGAGGGAGCTAATGTTCAACAGAGAACTGCCCCTAGCAGGAAGCTGCAGGCCGGCTCCAGGGCTGAAGGGTGCTGGAGTTATGCCTGGTGTGGGTTCCAGGGTTGCTTCCGCAGCTGAAGCAGGAAACCTTAGTGGGGCAGGGCGGCTGAAGGACAACCCTATCACAGGGCTGCAGATGACCAGGACTTACTAGTAGGCAACTCCTGGAATTAGACAGATGGGGCACTTGCACAATTTTGAATATTCTAAAACTGAATCATACTTTCATTGGCTTTTTTTTTTTTTTTTTTTTTTTTGAGACAGGGTATCACTATGTAGTCCATGATGATCTCAAACTCCCAACAATCCTCCTGCCTCAGCCACCTGACTGCTGGGATTATAGGTGTGCACCCCTCCCCCTAGCCCTGCGTTATAAAGTTTTAAAGGGTGAATTTTATATTTTAGCTACATCACAATATAATAAAAGAACAAAGAGACAAATGGTAAATGCAGGTAACATCTGTAGGGAGAGGCCCTTGGCCCCTGGCAGGTGAGAAACAAGAGATGGCTCCCCACCCCCACCACCTGGCGCTCTGGGCTCCAGGGTGCAGGCTGCCCTGCCCACCCCTGCTCCTCGTCTGCGTGTCTGTACACCTGGCTGCCCTCTCCTCCCTCCCACCCAGATGTCAGAAGTTGGTCTCTTCCTTTCACTGTCTTGATCCTCCTCAGGTTAGGAGGAATGCTGGGTAAGGGATGGGGGTCCTTATTCCTGAGAGCCACGGGTGAGGGCCAGGGCGCCCCCTGTGGCCCTCGGCAGCATTGCATCTTTCCTTGCCAGTCTGACTGCTCCTGCTGGGATTTTTCATGATGCACCCTAGTAGTAGAGATAGCACTCCTTTTCCCTGAGCCCTTAGCACAAGGTGAGAAAAAGACGCTAAGCTTGCCACAGAATTCTCTTCATGTAGGAGAGGCTGTGCGGCCTGGCAGAACAACCCATCGTGGGGTGAAGTGGGTATAGCACCTGTTATGTTGTGGTCTCGAGTGAGGTAGACCAGCCAGGAGCCACTTACTATCCCCGGAGAGGAAGCCACTGCTGGGGACAGGAGAGCTCCTTGAAGCTCTTGCCCCGATGGCCAGCAACGCCACTGTCCATGGCTCATGCAGGTGCCTGTTTAGGGAGCTGTGACACAGGGGAGTGGACATTTAGAAAAGTACACGACAGCAAAATAAAACAGTGGTTAAAGAAAAGGAAAGGCTAGGCCAGAGGGCCCCTTGAAACACAGCCAGGGACTCCTCCAGGAGCCCTCAAAAGAGACTTCTGCCCCTCCCTGTCCCCTCTCCATTGCCTGGGCAGTCTGAACTCAACCTTGGTTACATCCCTTTGCTAGTCTGGTGACTTACTTTCTGTGAGGTGGGAGGGCCTGGTGACTGGAAGGACAGCAGGGTCCCCGACATGGTGCATCCTGGAGCCTCTCATGAGCCAGGTTCCCATCAGCCATCTGGGTCCCGGGTGGAGGTCCCACTCACTGTTCTGGCCATTTGGTGGCTCACTAAATCTCAGGGCCAACTGCCGAGGCCTCTTTCAACCTCTTGGCTGTTCTTTTGCCTTTTCTGATCAGCTGTATTTATCTTAAACTAAATGGTCCTCCCTGCAGAATGAACGGAAACCTTGGCTGTGTTACAGCTGCACCTCTTCCCACCCCCACCCCCTGCCAATGCCCAGCCACTGGCGAATGCCACCAACCCTGATTAGAGTCTGTCCTTGGTACAGGGTGGGCAGTTCCATTTGGGGCAGAGTCCAGGCACAGAAGTGAGGTGACTGAGAGGAACTTTTTAGGGAGCCCTGTCCCAACTGTCTTGCTGCCGCAGGGACTGGAGGCCTCAAAACAACCCCCTCTTTCTCTCCTCCCCCCCCCTTCCTCCCCCATTCTCGATGTCTTCCCCCCATCAGGATTGTGCTCTTGGACGATGCCATGGACTGCTTGATGTCTTTTTCAGATTTCCTCTTTGCCTTCCAGATCCAGTTTTACTATTCAGGTGAGCAGGTCCAAGCCCATGTACCCGTGTCCTGTAATCCTGCCCATCTGTGCATCTGGCACATGAGCTCCTCTCCCACTTCCTTTGGGGGTGCACAACTGGTACCAGCAGGGTGTCCAGTTAGCACTGGTGGCCCCAAGTTTCAGTCTGTAGAGCCTACTTCTCAGCTCCTGTAGACACTGAAAACCTCAGAGCCTAACACCTTTAAACCACAGTGACAGTGGCATCAGTAGCCTTGGCTACCTACCACAGACTGGCCTGTCCAAGGCAATGCTCAGAGCTAGGACCTGTTCGAGGGACAAGAAAGAGGAGGAACAGAAGCCACGCAGCCCGTGAGCAGCAGCTCGGCCAAGCAGGAGGCGACTCCAGAGCTAGGGTTCCCTGCCGTGCCCCGCCCCCACCCTGCCTGTGTGTGGGGGGACTATCAGCTGCCCTCACGGCTTCTAATAAGCACAAACCAGCCTCATCTTGCACATCCGCTTCCCGATCCCCCTCACTGCGCCCATAAGTTCCCTCTGCAATCAAGTGGAATAAAAATAGACATGTGCCCGAGTGCTCGCAGGCGACACACGATGGAATGTGGGGTTTAGAAACTGCTGACGGTGGCCATAAACAGACTCGTTCAGACGGGCTCTTCCAGTAAACAGAAGGCCGTCCTTGGAGACTGGAGGTGGCCTTCCTGCCAACTGCGGCCCACCACCCCCCGCCTCACTGAGGCGCCACTTTCTGTTTACTTGGTGGCAGTGTGGGGCTGTTCGGGCAGGGCCTGGAGCCCAGACTCTTGCCACCTGCTCCCAGCAGCAGCAGGCACAGCTCGCTCTGGCCTCCAAAGCTCATGGGCCCAGGGAAGGAGGGTTTCCCTCACTGCCGGGAGGTGCCCCGCAGGGTGTGGCAACAGGGAGGTGGCCAAAGCACTAACTGCACAAATCTGAGAACAGTGACCACACTAGCAGTTTGCGGGCTGGCTGTCTCCCCCCCGCCTCTCCTGGTCTGTTGGTTGGGGAGACTGGGGGCCTTGAGATGGGGCTGAGCATCAGGAACACACCCATGTTCACTTTTCCAATACAATGCAGCACTCAGCAGGCACCGACAAGCAGGACCCCACTTTATACGGGATCTTGCATTCCGGCGTGGAAGGCCTACCTCAGACATGCATAGAGAAAGCTGCGGGCATGAGCTTTGGTGTACAGTAGGGGGCTCAGCTGCCACCCGAGGGGGCTGCCATCATCCCACATGAGGGTGGCAGGTGTTGAGGCCTCTGCTCCGGGGACAGCAGGTGCTGAGCAGAGGCTCCTGGGGGGCTGAGCTGTCAGATGGGAGGAGGAACACACAGTGTCCTTTCCATCTGAATTGTCCCCCACCCCATGGTCCCAGAATTCCTGGACAGCGTGGCTGCCATCTACCAGGACCTGCTGTCAGGCAAGAATCCCAACACAGTGATTGTGCCGACATCATCCAGTGGGCAGCACCGCCAGCGACCTGCCTTGGGTGAGGCTGGCGTCCCTGAGGGAGTGGAAGCATCACAGTTCTACCAGTGTCTGGAAAACCTGTGTGACCGGCACAAGTACAGGTGGGTACAGGTCAGACCCTGTCACTGCCCTGGGTGCTCTGGGACCCGGAGAGGGTGTTATGATGGGCCAGGGCTTCCAGGGCCTTTGGTGACTCTGATATAAATTAGGACAGGATCATCTGCTTCCAAACCAAAGTGGGACCCAAGGGTTCCTAGCCAAGACACTTAGGTCACTTTCCTTTGGTGCAACCAAGTGTTGGAGACCAGCTTCCCTGGACACAGACCACCCCTGACTTCTTAAGTAGGAAAGAGCATTTGCTATTCCCAGCAGTCCCACAGAAAGCGGAGGTTTGGCTGGCTTGTGTGGCACAAAACACCCAATTTAGTGTCCTCAGAGAGGAGACTGTGCTCACCAGTAGCCACTCCCTGGTCCCGCTCCTGTGAAAGCACCAGCGAGGGCAGCGTCCACCCTCCCTGTCCCAGGCAGGGTTGCCCTGACCCTGCCCTGGGTCGTAGCTCTTGTCACCATCCGCACCCAGAGGGGCCCTTGCACGAATTTGTCTGAGTTAGGCTTGTGTCCCCTCAGCTGCCCACCCCTGGCCCTGGTCAAGGAGATCCTGAGCGGTGTGCAGAGGCTGACCTTCTATGGCTTCCTGGGGAGCCTCTCCAAGCACCCAGGCGTCAACCAGGCCCTGGGTAAGTAGCCCCGGCATTCCGTGGAGAGACAGCCTGCTTGTCCAAGGCCCTGCCCAACAAGAAGCTGCAACGCGTGCACATACACCACAGAATCCAAAATCTGCTCTAAGGAGCACCTAGGACATTGGGCAGCCACAGGCCCATGTCCCCAAGTAGATGGGGCGATGATACAGCAAAGAGAGCAAAATTCACATAGAAACAGGGAAGAGAGGCATTCTTTTCTCAGCTGAGTAGAAAAATCAGATTAATCTGAAAAAGAGCAAAAAAAGGGGGGGCTGGCGCCAGTGGGGCTTGCTGCTGCTTGTCACTGGTGGCTCCTCTGTCCACCTTCCCACCTCAAATGCCCACATCTGGTTCCTGCGATTCAGATAGGCACCCTACTCCGCAGGGAACAGAACGGGGTCTCAGAAGGAAAGTTAGCATTTGCTAAGTGCCCGCCACAGGATTCCCTGGGACACAGGGCGCACCACACCTCACACGCTGGTTATTTTAAGATCGGTGGGCAGCAGAGGAGGAGTCAGAAACCAAGAGGCTGCTGCGAGGTGTTCTTTGCATCCCTGGCCACCCTCTCTTCCACCAATGACAGCTGCTAGGGAGGGACAGGAAAAGCGAAGCAGCAACTGGGCCACGGCCGCCTGCTCGAAGGACTTTACAGAGGCCGTCCCAAAGCCTGCCCTGATTACTGAACTGGCTGAGCTGGAGCTCACAGTCTGCTCCTTGCCCCTCGCCTGCCCTCCAGAGTACAAACAGAAACACCCCGCTGAGAGGTGGCTCTGTGCCACCTTTCTCCCTGAGGCACCCCCCAAAATGAGAGGGTCCCATGAAACATAGTTTGAAAATCACTAACCTAGAGCCAAAGGGGGCGGGAAGGTCAACGGGAAGAAACTTGGCAAAGTGGGAAACTGAACCCGGGCCCCTCAGCTCCGGCCAGATCCGAGCCTCAGCACGCCTCCTTGCGGTGAGAACCTTCCCTCTGCAGTTCACTGTACGCAAACGCTTCCACTGTCTCCAGAGTGGGGTCATCCTGACCGAGGGACAAGGAAGTGGATGGTTTCTGACCTTTGGGGCTGGCCTGGGCTCAGTGCTAGGCCTTAAGGAGGAACTAAGTCGCTGTCTCCACTTGGAGGGGATTCCGTTTGCTCGGGGACACCTCGTCAGCTGTGGTCCATTGCACCTTACCTCTGCCCAGTGCCGATGGTGTGGGCAGTCATGCGCGTGAGGCCTGGCTGGGGACCTCGAGTCAGGATTTGTGCCCCATCCAGTGGTGTCTCCTAGGAGCGCTGCCTGACAAAGGGGACTTGATGCAGGATCCAGCCATGGACGAGGAGCTAGAGCGGCTGTAAGTGTCCCGTAGGGAGATGCTGCCCCCTCGTGGGAGCCACCCTCGCCCCCTGCCCAGGAGGGTCCCCGACAGTGCGCGAGCCGGGATCAAGTCCGCACCGGGGCTCCTTCTGCTCTGTAGGCTCTTCCCTCCCTCCCTAGGCTCGCGCAGGTCCCTGGCCTGGTCCCCGCCGTCGCTGCCACCCCGGAGCCCGGCTGCCCACCTTCCCGGACCCCACCCCGGGTAGGCTCCCCGTGGAGACCCCTCCACCACCCACGGAAGGTGGACACGGAGAGCGACGGCTCCACGGAGGAGACGGATGAGTCGGAGACTTGAGGCGTCCGCCGCGCGCCCGCACTGCCCCCTTCCGGCAAGAGGCCGAGCAGCAGCCCCAAGCTGGGCCCGGTGGAGGGGGACAGAGGACTAGGGCACGGTGCCCCTGAAAACTCGCGCTGAGTGGACACCCACCGTGGCGTGAGCGCGGAGGGAGTGGGCAACCGCGCGTGCAGCTTCCAAACTCGCCCCAAGTCCTGTGTGTCCCACCGCGGAACCCTAAGTGAATAAAGTCCCATGTGCGCGGCGAGCGAGTCTGCAGCAGGGGTGGGGACAGGCTGGCCGGATGGAATTTTCTGGCACGTGCCAAACTAGCAGCAGCTGGGTCGCCTCCTGGGCCACGGCAAATAGATCAGAGGGTTCCCACCACGTCCTCAGACCCAGGTCACAAATGGCTATGCTACACGGCACTGTCGCCACCGTTTCCCCAAGCTTTTGACCTGCTCAGGGTCAGCGTATGTGGATGGGAACAAACAGGCCTGAGGTGCCGCTGTGGCGGGTACATCTGTAACTCCAGTATTTTGGGAAGCTGAGGCAGGATGGCAAGTTCGAGCCATCCTCACCAACTCTGTACTAGTGAGACCCTGAATTTTAAAAAAGGCTGATAGGGATCAACAAAAGCCCTGGGCCCAGCACCCAACACGGGAGGCACAGGCCTAAGGCATAGACTTCCACACCTAGAGAAAGCAGAGGTGGGTGGGCTTCACCCGCCCTTGAGGCAGCAGGGGTGGGGACACTGCCTGTGTCTGCTAAAGCTAGTGTCACCCTACCAGGCACATATTTTCCTGGACCCCTTTGCCCGTCCCGTGGCTGGGTCTGGTCCACAAGTGGCTCCAGCCTGAAGCCGAGGCTTGCACAGGCCAGTGGGAATCAGAGCCACTGTGATGCGGTGCCCTGGAGCTCCAGCAGCTATAGGCTGAAGGCTGGCTGGAGGCCTAACCCTCCTCTGACCACCCTGGAAGACTGGGGCCCTGTAAGAATAGGGAAGGCTGGCTGGGGCTCACACAACCAACCCACTCACCGCCAGATCCCCCCAATTTCTGCCACTCTACCAAGGAGCACTGCCCCACCGTCCGCCTGCACTCTCCAGCAATGTGCAGGAACAAGGACTAACACCAGCTCTTTCCTCCGCGTGCCACAGGGTGGTGAGGTCGAGGCTGCACCGGACCCCACGGCAGCACAGGGCCCAGGAGCCAGGGGCCTTGGGCACTCAGCGAAGAGACAAACTGGAGGCCCTGGAGAGAGCGCCCGAGCCAAGTCGGTGGCAGCCCGAGTGAGCCGGGGGGGCAGGGAGGCAGCAGGAGGCCAGGCCTTGCCGACACAGGCCCCGTGGGGGCTTTATTGACACCGCTTTGTTTCAATACAACAGTCCTGAAAGCAGCTGTCCCTCTGGGGAGGAGGGCCGAGTGGTCTGCGTTGCTAGGGCCCAGCCTGTCACCCATGGGTAGGGGCTGGGCCCAACTGCTGCATGGCAGAGAAAATGGCACCAAGATGACACAGTGCATGGCCCAGATGCCGAAGGAGGCCTGCAGTGGGCTCAAGAGCTCACTGCTGGGGCACTGGCCGAGCCCCCTGCCCAGGAGAACACAGAGGCGGCCGAGCTGGGGCCAGCGCTGCCCCATCATCCATTTCCCTGGCCACAGCACACACAGCTTCCACTCACGGGACAGAGTGGGCAACACCATGGTGGGTGTGCTGACCAGGGAGAGTGGCGTCTCGGGTGTGGCCACAGTGACCTGGGGTTGAGACAGTGGCAGGCAGCCTCCATGATGGCAATGGGGGGACAGGAGAGGATCACTCAGGCCTGCAGGCTGTCCCAAAGGAAACTCAAAAGTGCCAGATAGTCTCTAGCCCTTAGGCCCAAGGTCCTTCCCCTTCTGTCCTCCCTGGCACCCAGAAGAGGCCACTAGTGACAGCAGGGAAAGTCCAGGGCCTCCCAAGGGGGTACCTGACCCGAGAGAGCTGGCAGAAGCCTCGCAGGATCAGTTTCCCTAGGGGATGTGCTGACCGGAAGAGCCGGGGCGCCTGCCCTCCTCCCAGGGCAACCAGGTGAGCAGCAGCTTCAGGCAGGGCTCAAAGGGGCGAGAAAGGGTGTGATCCACAGGCAGAGGTGAGGGCTAGCACTGGCAGGGCACTGCCCTCAGTCCCCGAGGCCCTCCACTCGCAAAGCACAGAGAAGTAGTCAGTCCTCCCCAGGTGTCACTGGCTGGGGAATGATGGGGCGCCTGCTGCTGACACCACTACAGGCTTAAGCCTCAGGGCTGGGGTCAGTAAGACCCGTAGCGATCCTGGGGTGGAGACAGGAAAAGCGAAGTCAGTTTCCAGGCTACCAAGACACTCAGACACACACCACCTCCCAACACCCAGGCCACATGGACCGCAGCAGGGGCCCCACATAGCAGCCTGGAGAGCACCACACAAGGGGGTGCCCTACCACACCTCACACTGGAGGGAACTGTGCAGGCGGGACAGTGTCCAGAAAGGGTCCCGCCCCAGGAGAGAGCCCAGAGGACAGAGAGCAGGCTGGGTCCCCACAAAGGGGGCCTCACCTGCAGTGAGTTCATCACCCCGTTGGCCAGCACAGCCATCTTGCCAGCCACAGACTTGACACCCTGCTTAAACTGTGCGATGTCGGCAGTGGGGAGCACATGCCCCAGAGACACGCTTCCTGTGAAAGCCAGGGAGGTGACCTGGAGTCCTCAGGCAGCCCTCCCACAGCCCACCACCCACCACAGCCCCACCTGCTCCGTGAGCTCCGTCCGTGTCCCCAAAGAGGTCTGCAGAGCTGATGGCACTGCTGCCCGAGAGCTGCTGCAGCCGGGACCTGGCCTCATACTGTAAAGGAAAAGTGCAGCTTGGGGGTCTCTGGCCAAGGATGGGACAACTCGCACACACCAGCCACGTGACATGGAAGCTGAGATGGGGCAGCCAGGGAGCTTGGGCTCCTCCCTGTGGCCACACCCATCCCAGTTCACTCACCTCAGTGTCCACCTCCCGCCCGAAGAACATGTCTGATGAGATGGCCTTGGCGCCTGCGAACTTCTGCTGTGCTTCGCTGGGCTCCACACCTGAGCCCCGGCTCTCTGCCTCCCTCCGGTTTGTGGCTCTGGAGGGTGTAGGGGAGAAGATTAGTTCTGGGCCACAGGGATGCACGAACCCCTCTTTGAGGCCAGACTCTCCCAAGGCTCTCAGGAGCTGCCCCTTCTGCACAGAGCTGGCACAGTGTAGAAACCTGGCTGGGAGGAGCCTGCGCTTTGGCCCCCACCCACTAGACCTACGGTCACTGCAGCTCCTCTGACCCCAGTGACAACATGCCCAATCTTGGGGTGACCACATAGCTCGGTCAGCGCTCACAGTCTCCAAGCAGACATACTACGGGTTTCACAAAGATCTATCACATTTAATCCTCCTAAAGACTCACTGAAGTAGCTATTTATACCCCTGTTTAACAATGAGTGATTTGCAGGTAACTTACCAAATCACTGCTCTGATCAACATGAAGGATTTAAAAACTAAATGAGGGGCCAGTGTGTAGCAGTGACTCCCCCACGAGGAAGAACTGCCTTCCATCGCCAGCATCAGTGACGCATGACTAGGCACAGACCAGACACTGCCTTCAGGGAGGAGGCCAGGGCTAAGGAGTAAAATCCAGGCCCGTCGGCCAGAGAAACAGGTCCCAGGCCACAAAGGCCCCCTCGTGCCAAGGACGGGTCCCTGTACTGCCTACTGAGATGGTGCCTACTGCAGGACTGTGATGCTGTTTACTCCAACTACATGAAATGTCCTGAGTCAGTCAGCTCCCCAGCTCACAGCCACGTGCGAAAGAAAGGCTCTGGAGCAACCCAGCAAGTGGCTCCCACATGGCCACAGACACAGAACACTTCCGCCCTCAGCACAAGTCCTCTGTACCTGCTGCCCCAGGCCCTGTACCTTTCTGAAATAGGCCGGATGCTTGAGATGGTCACTTCTGGCTCCTTCTCCTCCACCCTATCCATTCCCCAGGTGGTATCTGTGTCCCAGCGAGAACCAAAGGATTCCAAGGAAAATGGGTTGTCCTTGTACCTAGGGAGACAGCAGAGGCTTGAAGCAGCCCGGAGAGGAACACGGGGGCCAAGTCTATGCTCCAGCAGTTGCCTTACTTCGGAGGTCCAGAGGCGAAGGTTCCAACATCGTCAAACAAGTCCAGCTGCGAGCGGGAGGATTTTGCAGTCACGGGGGTCTCCTGCTCAATCACTTGCATCTCAGACAGCACCGAGTGGGAGACGGAGCTGTGCAGAACGGAATGGGCACTCAGGCAGCGTCAGCATCACGGCACAGAACGGCCACCTGGCTGCTGGGCTGCATCTCCCTTCCCTCCCTGCCAGTACACAGTGGGGTTGGGGGTGAAGCTATGTGTACCTCAGGTATCTAGGACAAGGTCAGTACAGCACCAGGCACAGTGCTGACCTGGAGGGAGCACTCCAAAAGAACATCCCAGGCCCGCAGTTGCTGCCCTTGAGCACTTCACTACTAGATGCACCACATGAGTGCTGTGGCCTAGAGAACAGCCCCTCCCTCGGCATACTAGAAACAAGACCCTTCAGACACAGATAGTGAGCAGAAGACAGGCCCAGACGAGGAATACACAGCCAAACCTCTTACCAAAGACCTAGGAACTAAAAACAATACTGAACCACAGTGCTGAACTCCTATAATCCCTACTCAGGAAGCTGAGGCAAGAGGATCACAAGTTTGAGGCCAGACTGGGCAATTTAGCAAAAGCATCTCATAACAACTAAAAAGGGCTGAGGATATAGTCCAGTGATAAGAGTACCCTTGAGTTTAATTCCCAGTACGACAAAAGAGAGGAAAAAAAGACAGAAAGATAGACAGACAGACGGATGGACAGACTAAATCTAAAATCAGGTAATTTTTGTTTTCAAAATCTGGTGCTAAGCCAGGTGTGGAAGCGCACCTGCAAGCCCAGCTCCTTGAGGCCGAAGCAGGAAGATCCTAAGCTCAAGGCCAGCCATCCTGAAGCTGCCCTCTGCTCATCCTGGGCAACTCAGCAAAACCCTGTCTCAAAGTAAACAAGGTCGAGGACGCAGCTCAGTGGCACAGTGATTCCCTGGCATGAGAACCAGTATTAAAAAAAAAAAAAAAAAAAAAAAACACTTCATTCTGCCAGCTACTAGACGCATAGGCTCTGGGCAGGCTACTTAAGTGTTTCATTTTTTCACCACTACACTGGAATAACAGCAGCTCCTACAAGGACTAGCAGGTCTAAGTAAACACAGCCGCATAATAATAAGCTCAGACCTCCTGCTTCAGTCTCCCAGAGAGCTGGGATTACAGATGTGTACCACCAAGCCCAGCTAGAGACTCCCAATTTTTAAGAGATCAAATCTCAAGACATTAACTCAGAGCAGGCAAAACGTACCAGAGCTGGTCTGTGGCACTCACTCTGGTTAAGAAAACCACAACAGAAGCAGTGCTGTGAAACAGAACGGGCAAGGCCCACCCCAAGGGCACATGAAGCTGGGGGAGCCATGAACCTGTAGGTCTCAGGAGTGCACTAGAGTATAAACTGCCCTTGCCATTAGCACCCTCAATATTGTGCCCACCCTGGGCTCTTGCTGTGTCCTGCCCGATGCACAGAGTACCTGCCTTCTGGTCTCTAAGTGCCACAGTAGGTGCCCTAACACAGTGCACCCAATATAGTAGTTGATTCAGCCTCAAGGAAGACTAAGAGCAGAACTCGAAACCAGGAAGAGGCCAGCTGGTACCCAGAAAACCAATGGCACTGCCTGCCACTCTGCCCAGCCTCACCTGCGGGACACCAGGCCCATGCCTAGCCTCTCTGCCTGCTCCCGCTTCTTCCCTTCTAGGTTCTGCAGCTTCTTCTCCTCCTTCTTCCGGTCAATCTGGAGCTCCTGATAGGCCAGGCGCATGGAAGCGACCCTGGAGGACAGGGAAAGTCAGGGCCCGGCCCCCACAATGCCCTGCCACCCCATGGCCAACACGCACATGGACTCCTCCGCCTGCTTCTTGGCGTCTGCCACCTGCTGCTCACGGAGCTTCTCTGCCACCTGGGCTTGCCGCTCGATCTCACTGAAGCTCTGGTTGCTCACCTTCTGGGCCCCCAGGCCTTTCTTGGCCCCCAGCTAGGAAGCGAAGCAAGCAGTGTGGGTCTTGCCAGCCAGGCTCCCCAGCTCCCTTTCAGGCCCAGGTGCTCTGGCCACACTCATGAGAAAGGCCCTGGGTAGGTTTTAGGTCACAGAAGGGAGCCGATGAGCATGGCTGAGACAGAACAGGGGCTCCACTGGAGCCAGGCATGTGGAGGCTCAAGTACTCCAGCCAAGGCCTCGGAGGATGAGACCAATGCTAACCCCGACACAGCTCCTGTGCACCCAGCTTTGCTGCTAGCCAAGACACTCACTCCACTTCCCTACCGCCTCCCAGAAGCTTCCTGAAGCTGGACATCTCTAAATCCCTTCAACAGACAAACGTTATTAAGCTACCTGTGTCGGAGCCGTACTGCCAGTGCATGACAAGGTCAGGGCAAACGAGGAATCCAACTGGAGCTGCTAACCACCCCGCCAAACTGCCCCACCACCTACCCCCTTCTTGGCTGCTGCCGGCTTCTTCTTGCCGATGATGGAGCTTTTCAGATCTGTGTGAGAAAAAGTGGCCATGAGCTAGGACAGGTAGGGTCAGAAGCGGTGGCTTGGTGACACCATGCAGCTTCATGGCAAGAGCGGCTTAAAAGCACAACTTCAGGCAGGGAAGGTGAAGCTGCCACCACCAGTTATACCTGGTGGCATCCAAGCCACAGACAGACAAGGTTAAGGGCCTTGCTGACAACCAGCATGTTGCGCAGAGCACCGACCCAAAGCACCAAAGTGAGGACTGTTAGGTGGTGACGATGCCCCAGGCCCCACGCAGCAGCTGGTTACCTCGGGCAGAAGGGGCCCCTGCAGCTGACAGACACATGGACACTGCAGGAGAAACAGACCCGCTGCTAACCTGGGGCCAGCCCTGAGCCTCACAGACACTCTGTGGGTCAACTCTGCCAGCCTCACATGGGCCCCCGAACAGTCACTCTGCTGGCTGCCTGCCCAACCCCCAAAAGTCAACAGAACACACCGAGGTCAGAAAAGGGACTGTTTACCCTACCCACGCTGGAAGGCCACTGAAAAAAAGTAGAAGAGAGTTGAAGGACAAGCCAGAGACCGGCTCTGAAGCTCTGAAAGGACAGTGTTGCCTCCAGCCATCAAGAGCTTGAAACTGCCCTCCTACCCAGTGAATGGGCCACACAGGAAGCTCGTGGGGACCAGGACAGACGTCTGGTCTCATGGTAGCCTCCCACGCTGCAGTGGGATCCCACCCCATCCAGGGCTCAGTTCAATGGGCCAGGCACACACACTGACAGCATAGCCAGGACTCTGATCACAGTCCCCACCCGAGGTCAGGTGTCTGTCGCCTGTGGCCATCCTCTCCCGGTCAGCCCACCCACCAAGCTAGCATACTGACCCAGGGAGGCCTTGTGCGAGGAACCAAGCAGATCGGTGTTGGGGCCCTGTTCTGGCTCTGTGGATGCAATGACAAGAGTTAGGTAGGAGACCTCCCCGTAGACAAGTGAGGTAAGAGCACAGCTCCTTGGCTTATTCCCAGAAGGTAAATGCTTGCTACTCCCATGCCACTGAACTGAATCTCATTCCAACCAAAGATCTACAAAAATCCCCCCACCCCTACTCCACTGGCCAAATGTCCCCTTCCTGGCCCAAAATCATTTCCCAGGGACAGGAGATGGGTGGAACTGGGGCTGAACTCACGTGCCAGGCTACTGCTCTCTGCAGGCGGGGCTGGCTGCTGGGTCTCTGAAGGCTCGGTGGTGGGTGTGTCCCAGGCAAGGGGCTGAAAAAGGAGGCCAAACCCCAGAAGCCCCAGTGAGTCCTCCTGCTGACAATGAGCACCTGGAATCCACAGGCGCTCATGGGCATGAAGCCCTACTCCCTAGTCCAGAGAAGGAGGGAGGCTGGAAGTCAGCAAGTAAAATTACAGCTGCTGTGCTCCGGAGAGATACAGAGAGCTGGCATCAGTTCACTCATAGCCATGGCCCATTCCTGACTCAAAAGCACTAATAATTGGGCGCCAGGCACAAGTTAAAAGGCTCCTCACACACAAATGGAACTATCAGGAAAAGCCCTATGCAGCGGTGACATCTCCACATTAGAAACTGAGGTTTCGCCAGGTTGAATGACCTGGCCACATCACAGCAATGCCAGGTAGAGAGGCAGGGAATGCAAACTCAAGAGTCTGACTTCAGTAGCCAGGGGAAGCAGACAGGAAACTTTCACAGGGGTTGGTCACGGGGGACAGAATCCTTTCACTGTCCCCCAATTAGAGTAACTTCTTTTATTTATTTTTTTTCAAAGTTTTATTGGTAAACAGCAATGAGACAGTTTCAAATCAAATCGGAAGTACAGTTTCAACAAATAATACACTGCATATATTCTTCTTAGTGGTAGAGTAACTTTTTAGGGAAAAGTCTAGAAAAAGTTGTTTAGAGCTCTTGAGCCTCCATTACGTTTCTCATCCTCCACATCTTCCCCCCTTCGTCCTAGTTCCTAGGACTCTTATCACCTGTCCACTCACAGGGCAGCACCTACCCAGCAGGGAGCAGCCTCCCACACACTGGGCCCCAGAGGCTCTGACTGGCAGAGGCCAACTACAGAAGGCCAGGGGAAACCCTCGTGGGCACTCACCTGAGTGTGTTCACTGAAGAAATCAGAGTCTTTCTTTTCAGGGGAGTGACCAGGAGCACTGCTCATGTTGTCTATCCAAAGCTGAAAGAGAGAAGGCTCCTGGAAACTCGAGGCTCTAAAGACTCCACCTTTCCGCCCCGACCTCAAGAACAGGCACTTACATCAGTGCCGTGCCTAGCCAGGGCCGCGCTCCCCAGCTGCCGGATCTTCTCTCGGTACATCTGGGCAGCTCTGCTGTTATACTTGGTGTTGGCATCACTGGCTGTGCATCCATGTTGACGGAAAAAGGCTGTCTGAACAGCAGAAAAGGGCACAGCAGGCTACAGCTGATTCTCAGCAGCATAAAATGGTTCTGTAGTAGTAGACACCCCTAGTAACAACCTGGTCAGGATCTACACGAGATGACACTTATTGACACCAGCAGTTTTTCATAAAGTTCCTCTGAAATTCTTTCCAAAAAACACTTTGCCACTTTCTATCCTCTGTGATGACTGAAGCCCGGCACTCACTTGACCCTGCCTGATGCCAGCATGCCAAGCCCGCGCTACACATCCTCCCTCACACCAGGCCTGCAAGACTGAGAAAGGCTGTGGAGGCCTCAACTTTCTTAGCCTTCTCCGGAAAACATTTGTTCAATTTAGTTTGAATTTGAAGGCTTTTAGAGGAGCTGTGTGACTAAGTCCCAAATTAAGAAAACACTGCATGGTGTTACAGACCAGAAACTCTCTAAACAGACACACAGAGAGGGCCTCCCTCAGGGCCGCGCTGGTACCTGGGCAAAATAATGGGGGCTGGGGGAAGTACAGGGGCTTTACCGCATTGGCATTCCCGCCGACCTGCATGCACCTCAGCTGGAACCAGCTCCAGTTGGAATCCAGCTCTGTGGACCTACGCACAAGAGCTGGGTGTCACCTCAGCAGACAGCAGGAGACGTGTCCCCCTGGCAGGCCCACACCTGATCTGGCCACTGCCCCATTTCTGTCACCCTGCCCTGGACAGGGGTCGCTCTTCCCTCACTTATACCGAAGGGTCCTAAATATTTCCCCCAACCTGGAAGATCTCGCGCTCAGGCAGGAAAGCTTGGCTTTGGTTTTAACCTTGGGGTTGATCTCTGAGACATTCTTGCCAGTCTATCCGCCAAAAGGTCAACGCTGCTAACTTCTGCCCTAAACCAGCCCTGTCTCAAGTTTGATGATGAGGCCTGAAAGGAGTTTTGATCCTGACGCAGAGGAGGGCCGCTCCTGCGGCGAGGTGCCCCTCCAGCCGGGGCCTTCCCGCAGGAGGTTACTGGACCCCAAACTCCGAAGTCGAAGCAGCCCCGACTGGCGCCAACGACCCACCTAATAAAGCTAAGATGGACCCCAAGGGAACGGTGCACCCCGGAGCAGTCGATGCACAGAAAAACACCATACGTGATGCTGGCCCAGCTTGGACTCTTGGCGCCGCAGTCGAAACAGGCCTGAGTGGAGGAAGCGACAAGCGAACAGTCAGGCGCCCAAGTAGAGGCCGGAGGCTGACACCCAAGAAAACCACCCACCTCCGCCCTTTTGTCTCTTCCTCAGACGACAGAGGCCGGGAAGCTCCCTTTCTGCCGGCGCCAGACCTCGCGGCCCTCTCGCCCAGATACCTTGTTAGTGGGAATTGCGCGAAGTCTCTTAAAAAGAGTCTGGATTTCGGTCTTGCTCGGCTCCGCCGCCATTTTCTCTCCTTCCCAGATACAACCGCAACCGACGGGTGCCGCCACAGGCCAATCCGCGCCTGGGAGGGCGGGCTAACCCCGCCAACCGAGGGGTGGGGTGCTTTGGATGCGATCTGGACCAATGAGCGGCAGGCGGCACAAGGAGCGTGACGTCAGCGGCCGCGAGCAGTACAGTGGCCGCGAGAGTAAGGGCCGCTCCACGCCGGACCAAAGCACCGCCGGAGCGGGCGACGGATCGCGAGCCGGCCCAAATCTCCTTCCGGGGATTCCCAGACGCGGAGAAGGCGGAGCCGCCCGCCGAGGGCGTGGGCTACTGGGCCCTGCTCTGGCGGGTTATTGATAGACACATAATGATTAACGATCCTCCCAGGCTCTCCCTGTTCCACCAACCCGCACGGGAACGCACTGTGGCAGGGCCCCTGTTCAGTTCGCGAGCCAACACCTAGACTAAGCCTTGGTCGCCTCACCGCTCCTTTCTGTGGGTTCAGGGTCCTGACATTCCAGGGCAGGAATCGGACGGCAAGCCCATGCCCAACCCCGTCCTCCCCAGAGCCTCCTCCATGTATCAAAAAGACACACGTACTGCCTGATAGTGCTTTCTTTTTTATTTTTTTCAAGTTTAATACACACTAGCACAAGTCACAAAGAGAGGGTGCTGCTAGTCCACAACTACATTTCCCAAAGTCCACCCCAGGAGACCAGAGCACAGTCCTCAGCTCCTGGGCAAACTCAAGGCTCTCCTGGGGAGGTCGGGCAGCGCTGAGCCCTTCTGTCACCTCCGACCTAGACTCAGTTGGCACAGATGCCCCCCTCCCTGGTCGCAGGACTTCCTGCCTCCTCAGGGGACAGAGGAGCAGCAACAGTGCAATGGTTCAGAGCCAGGCAGTTCGGGAGCAGCTGGGCTGGGACCCGGGTAGAGAGACTGCAGAAGGGCCTCGGGCACTCAGGCGCCCACACACTCCACGTAGTTGGCAGGGTACAAGCCGATGCGGCCGCTCTGTAACTGGCCCTGGCACCAGCCCTGCTCATCCTCCTCGCTCATCTTCAGCAGCTCCTCTCCTGGGGAGAGAGGCTCTGTCACTGCCAGATACCCTGAGCCCCGCCATTCCCACTACTGACTGGGTCACGGGCTGAGGGGGACAAGGTAGAATGAGAGCTTGCCAGCCAGCCAGCAAGAAGGGACAGGGCTCAGGAAGGGGGAGGCGGCTATCAGCAGGCTGCCCCACCTCACTCCCCAGGGGCAGCACTGAGGCTGACAAGGAAGATTTCCCCCACAGCCCTATGTCCTGGCAAGTGAGGTTGGTAAGAAATAGGAATCAAGCCCAGGGTACCTGCTCGGAAGCTCAGCTCATCTGCCTCCTGGCCAGCGTAGTCATAGAGTGCCCGCACCCGCACCCCAGTGGCAGCCTTCCGAGGGCCCTCCTCGTCTGACCACTCCTCATCCTGCCCCCTGGAGAGCAAAGGCAGAGCAGGCAGCTCAGGCCCCAGGACTCAGGGAGAAGGGCTTATCCCACCGAGGGACCCTTCAGGGGTAGGTGGAGGAGAAGCTGGATGACTCTAGTGGGAGCTACCTGGCAATTTTATTTTATTTTTGTATTTTAGCAAAGGGTCTACAGGGTGTTCCAGATCTCACTACTAGATCAGACGTATAGTGATCTACCTGTTTACAGCCTCCCAGGAGCTGGGATTATAGGTGTATGCCACCACGCCCAGTCTCAAATGCTGTCTCAGCACACCCCAGGGGTGGAGCCAGCACAGCAGGCCCAGGGATCGAACCCCCGGCCCACGCTTTAATCTGCTGAGCTATTTGGCCGGCCCTTAAATTTATTTATTTATTTATTTATTTATTTATTTATTTTTAGTACAGGGCCTACAGGGTCTCATTACATAGATCAGACTCGTAGTGATTCTCCTGTTTTCAGCCTCCCAAGCGCTGGGATTACAGGCACGTGCTACCATGCTCAGTCTCAATCACTGTCTCAGCGCACCCTGAGGATGGGGCCAGCACTACATACAGGGGATCAAACCTCAACCACTACATCTGCCTAAGCAGGCACTTTAGTCCACTGAGCTATTTGGCTGGCCCTATGCCTGGCAATTTTAAACCTCTCCTAAATCAGCCTGCTCGTCCAGGGCACAGATTTCAACCTACTTCATGTTGAAAAGGAAAGAAAGGAGAGAGGGGAAAGTGGGCTGGGCGAGGGGCAGAGCTGTTTGTTGGCTTCAGCTGGGCTCCTGGCTCTCACCCTGGGGACCCCGGGGACTGCAGTGGGGGTGCAGTGCCATCTCTTGTGGGCATGATGCTGGTCAGAGTGACCTCATCGGGGCTCCGGCCACCCTTCTCCTTCCTGCTGATTGTTCTCTGTGGGTCCAGGGACCACTCCTGCGGGAGTGAGCGTGTACAGTGTCAGGCTGGGCCACCTTCACCAGCTTCATCCCACACCCCACTTAGTATGCAATACGTGCCTCAAACTGTGGCCAGTTCATGGCCATGCCTGGCCCGTGGGTGCTGCGCCACCAGCGCAGGTCCTCCTCGTCACTGGCTGCCTCGATGCGCTGATGCAGGTCTCGATGGAGTTCATGGAACCTAGGGTGCAAGGCAGCTCCCTCAGATGGGGACATTCTGGGCTACTGAAACCCCCAATCGCACGACCTGTGCGACACATAGGGAACCCCATGCCCATGCCATACTTGTCACTGTTGGAGAGGTCAAGGTGCTGGTGTAAGGTGAGCAGCATGTCCTTAAAGAAGAGAAGCCGCTGGCGCTCAGCAGCCTGGCAGCTCTCGAAGGCCTGCTCCATGTCCTCCATGTAGCGTGGGGTATAGCGGTGCAGCTCTGCCAGCGTTTGCTCATACTGGCTTTTCGTCTAGGTGGAAGAGGCAGGGGCTGTGAGCACAATGCACCAAAATTTAGCAGGCAAAGCCACAGGGGCAAGCAGGCCTGTGGCCCAGGTCTCATCCTCAGGAACCTCAGCAGTCTAACAAGGAAGGTGACATTCAAGCGCATCACCTCTAAGAGCTGGCTGGAGAATGAGAACCAGTCAACCAATGTAGAAGGCAGGAGAAATCAGAAAAGTCTTCCTGGAGGCAGCATTGCCCCTTCTACTCCAGGGCTCTGCCACAGAGCCACACCCCCAGCCCCAGGCTCCGCCTTTAAATGAGCATCTAGATAGAGGGCGCCCGGGGTAGCCTCCCCGCAGCCTTGCCTTTTCTGCTTCCTTGGTGCAGCGCCCCACACGCTCCTGCAGTTTGCGCAGCTGCTCCTGTGACACGGCGCTGTCCGCCTTGGCGTGGCTCTCCCGGGTCTGTGCTGTCTTCTCGTCCTTCCGGGCTGCGTGGTAGCTCTTCTTGGACGCCTCAACCTGGTATTGCGCAGGCACAGCTCTGGACCCTGGACGCCACACTCCGAGCTCCAGGCCCCACACACTCCTGGAAGGTGCCCACCTCCAGCTCCCTCCCCTCCATGCACCCAGCCTCACCTCCTTCAGCCTTTTGAGCCAGGGCTTCTGGGCCTTTCGAAAGCCATCCTCAGCCGCCCGGCTCTCCCGAAAGCCACCCAGCACCGGCCGGTGGAAGGCGCCTCGCTGCCATACGCGCACCCGCTCACTGTCGGGCCCGTGCAGCTTCTCGCGTACCTCCAGGTGCAGCTCGCTGAGCCGCTCGGCCGCCGTGAAGAAGGCGTGCCAGGCCTTCTCCAGCGTGCCATACTGGGGTCCTGCGGAGGCACGGGGGCCCAAGTGAGCCACCCCTCTCACTAGGTCCTGCCAGGGTGCCCAGAGTGCAAAGGACAGCACTGTCACCTGCTGCCTACCGAATGCCAATGCTGTGTCCTAACTGGGAAGACCTTGCAGAATTCCTGCCTCAACCACTGTGAGGACAGTGTCATGATCTGTGTGGATGAGGTAAGAAATAGAGGCCCCGGGGAGATAGCTCAGTGGAATAAGTGTTTGCCTGGCGAGTGCAAGATAGAAAAAGAAAAAAAAAAAAAAAAAAGAAAGAAAGAAAGAAATAGAGGCCCAGAGAGGTGGTGTCTACTTGTCCAAAGCACCACAGGTACTCCATGGGCCGAAAGTCAGACCCCAGCAGAATGCACACACTACATACCTGGATCTTTCCCTCAAACAAAAGCCCAGGGTCCACTCCCAGCTCTTTGGAGCTGTGTGACCTCAGGCAAGTCCCTTGGTCTCCCTGAACTCCCAGTTTCCCTCCCAGGCAGGAAGTATAGCTCAGAGGCAGAGTGCTTATCTGGTGTGGGCTCAATTCCCAGCACCAAACTAAGGGTCCCCCGCTCACAGTCCCCATCAGCCTGTGCAGCTACTCACCCTTCTCCACTGTACCCCTCCACTTGCGGGCCCACTCGGCCAGCTGCTGGGCATAGGCCTTCTCAATGCGGGCACGCTCCTGGAAGCAGCTGACCAGGTCCCCGCAGAGCCGGTGCCCGTCCTCCACCCGCTGCACCGTCCTCCTGTAGTTGCCAGCCTGGAGGTTCGAGTGACAAGAACTGCTGTACAGGGAAAAGCTTCCCTGGCCAAGAGGCTGAGCTCAAAAAAGGAGGGCATTTCGGTGCCACCATAAAACCCCAGCTGCTCACCTCCCAGAAACTGCCCCCCAGGGGCTCCCCTCCAGTGTCCTCTTCTGGAGCCATCGAGTCCCCACAGCACGGAATGGTGGCAAATTGGGGACTGTGGAAAGGAGTAAGCAGAAAAGTTGGATTTGGGCATCACCGCAGCAACATCCCTGCCACCCAAGGAGCCATCAGAGCTTGGGGTGACACAGGGGGCTGAAGTCCCAGGAGGAGCAGGGGGACATGATGGCTACTCAAAGCTCCTCCACTCACTGTGGGGCTGCCCTACCCTGCCCCCATACCTGGGGTCTAGAGATCACTTCAGGGACTCAAGTGTCCAACTCTCCAGGCAGCTACCGCAACACTGTCTTGAAGTGAACAAGAACACAGTGGGGTAAGGGCAGGGGCCGAGTGTCCAGGGCGGTGCCTGGCTCCCCCTGATATAGCAACTGCTGTCAGAAGCGCCAGATTCCAGGCAGGGAAATGCCAGGCAGGTCACACGATCCAGGCAGGATTAGATGGCAGGCGGGGGTGGGTGGTGGGCAGAAGAGGGGTGAGGACTCCTGCCCAGCCGGGGCCCCTGGCGCCTTCTCTTGAACCACAGGTCGACCCCATTAGCAGATGGCTGAGTCCGACCTGCCCATGCTGGGAAGGGAGCCAGGAGGCCAGGAGCCCTCTTGGCCAGGAAGCCAGAACAAGTGCTTTTTTGGTGGAATAGTGCCCACCTGGTCGGCTTCCACACCAGGGCAGGTGTTCAGACTAAACCAGACCCTGAACCAACAATGCCAGGGACTGCTGTGTCCCAAATAGCGTCCATAAAGCCCCTTGGGACTTCATGGATAATGAGCAACTCATCGCTGCCCTCAAAAACGCCCAAAGTCTGGGGGCCATGTTGGGAATGATGTTCTCCAGAATCACAGAGGAGGGAAGGGGGACTCCAAGTCCAGCACTGCCACCTCTAGCTCTAGACACAGTGGCATGCAGCCACTCCCTCTTATCTCTGGGCTCCGTCTCAGCTGTCCCTGCACTGCATAGACTGACTCATGGCCCCTAGAAGGAGATCTCTTCCTTCTCTGAGCAGAACTGAGGCCCAAGGGACAGAGGACAGAGTGTCTGCCTGCTGCCCCCGCAGCAAGCTGAGCCAGAGCGTCCTCCAAACGGGTGGACTTCTATTTATCCTTCAGCAGTCAGATGAAAGCCAGGCATGGTAGCACACAACTGTAATTCCAGCATTCAGGGGGCTGAGGCAGGAAGACTGCCATGATTCGAGCAAGGCCTGCCTAGTACACACAGTGAGTTCAAGGCCAGTCTGTACTATGGATCTAGACCCTCTTTTATTTATCTTTTTTTTTTTTCCCAGTACTGGGGATCGAACTCAGGACCTTGCACTTGCCAGGCAGGCACTTACGCCACTGAGTTATATCCCCAACCCAAGACCCTGTCTCTAATGAAATAAGTAAGTCAAATGAGCATGGTGGCAATTCCCTGCAATCTCAGCACTCTGGGTGACTAAGGCAGGAGTATCACAAGTTCAAGCCAAGCCTGGAAAACTTAGCGACTTAGTGAGACCCTGTCTCAAAATAAAAAGTAAAAACAAGCTGGGGATGTAGCTCAGTGCTAATGCCCTGGGTTCAATTCCATTATCATCCAAAAGAAAAACAGGTAAAGCAAATGAGGGCATCTTCCCAACAGGGATCCCCCGTCCCTCCCTCCTCCAGGCTACCAGCAGCCCCTGTAACCCCTCACTCGGGGCTCATGTTCCACAGTCTGTGGCTGACAGGATGGCATCTGTCCCCAGTCTTTGATGCTTTTCTGCCATTCTGATGCATTTCCCCGTGCTCTGGAACCATAACTGGGAGTATGGCTAAGTGGTAGACGCCATGCTTTAGCCGGCACAAAATCTGGGGTCCAAGGCTCAGCACCAGAAAGAGGAAGGAAGGAATGACATGAAAACTGGCAGCCTGCTTCCAGCCTCTGCTGACAGGGGGCACCCATGCTTCCCGGGGGATCCCAGGTGCACAGAGCAGCAGCACCTCACCTTTCTTCTCAGGTCTGCCCCCCTTGTCCAGAAGGGACAGGAGAGCCACATGGAGAGAGCGAGCTGCAGCCATAAATCACAGGGCCTCTGGAGCTGTCCCAGGGAACCATCAGGGCTGGGGGCCCCTGCCTGCTCCCCAGAGGGCTGCCCCCCAGCCTCTCTCTGGCCCCAGAACAGAGCAGGCTGTGTGTGCAGGGCTGGCACAGCTCCCTCGGCCTCACAGAGCAAGCACAAGCCCCAGGCCAGGCACAACCAGGCCCCACAGCTCAGCTCCGAGTTGCTGTGGGGTTGGCCTCCACCCTGGCCCCTGCTGAGGAGAGTTGGCACTTATGCCTCCCAGCCCCAGCAGAGCCCTAAATCAGCAGAACACCCTCTACACAGGCAGGAGCTCAGAAAGCAGGTAATGAAACCTTTCCGGCCCAGGGCGCCCAAACCTACTGGGCCCAGAGAAATCCTCCTGGCAGCTGCTGGGGCCAAACCAGGAGGTCTGCAGCTTCCGGGAACACATACTGTCCCCACTGAGGCCCCTACTCCTCTGCAGACGCTGGGGTCACCACAGGGGTAGGGAGCACAGCCACCTTGTCAGGCTCAGGCTGTCTGAGTCACTGCGCCCAAGGGCTTGTCCCCCAGGCAACCCCTCTCGGTCAGCCTGCAGCCCTAGGATCCGAGGACACAGGAGAGGACAGTCGCTGTCCAGAGAGGAGCACCTATCCCGTGGGGGCTGGCACCCGCATCCAAAGGCCCTGGAGGATGGGGGGAGGGGTACGGGAATGAGAAGGAGGCAGGGCAGAGGAGGGGCAAAACAAAGGGGCACTTTTGGAAACCCGACCTGCCCGCAGGGGTGCCTGCTCTCTCCCAGGTGACGCGCTCCAAGCCCGAGGCCTCCAGACCTGGAAGCGAGCGCCCCTCGCCAGCCCCCCCCCCAACAGGCGCAGCACACCCAGGATCCCCTGGAGCCCACGCGCGGCAGCGGAGCCCCGCCTGCCAGGGAGGCGCTGGGACTTTCTCTGCCAAACTTGTTGAACTTGGTCTTGGCAGAGGTGGGGCCAGCCCGTCACCGCGGAGGGAAGGGGCACCGCTTGTCTGGGCCCGGCCCGCCATCACCTCCAGACAGTGGCCTGGACTGTGGCGCCAGGATCTGGGGCTCAGGACCAGGGGTCCCGGGGGTGGGGGGCGGGAACGGCCTTTGTGCAGCGCAAGGAGGGTGGCGTGGGGCCCTCGAGAGGTCCCCGGAGATGGTTCACCCATCAGCCCTACACTGCCCCTTGCCCCACGAACGTCCACTCGGCTCGGCCCTGCCCATCCCCAAGCGGAGCGGGGTCCCCTGCGGCGGGAACAGGTTCCACTGCCAACTCCAGCAGCCGCGGGACCGCGAGGCAGGCTCAAGCTGCCGCGTCCCGGTCCCTCCTGTGCACTCACCGCGTCCTCGCCGGCCCGCAGCGGCTAGGGGTCCGGCCACGCTCCGCCGAGTCCTCTGCTCCCGCCGCCCCGCCGCCGCCTCCCGGAGCGCCTGGCCCTCCCCCGGGAAGCCCGGCCCCCGGCCCCGCCCTCCCCGCGGCCCCAGCCCAAGGCCCGGCTCTGAGGCCAGGCACCGGCCCGGTAGGTCTTGGCAGAGGTGGGGCCAGCCCGTCACCGGGATCCGCGCGCGCTCCGGGATCCGCTCTGTGCGGACGCCCCAGGGTGGCGCCGCGAGACTGCAGGGTCAGATTTCGGCCTCGTCCTCCCCTCCACTTTCGCAGATTGCGGGACTCGGTCTGCATCGCCCCCCTAGGGGCTTGAGAGCGACTATGCTTTGCATTCTCTGCTGAGCACAGCGTCCTAGACTGTTGCTCCGGGGAGGCTCCCGACCACTCCCGTAGGAAGCATTAGGATCCCCATTGTACAGATTGTGGAAACTGAGGCAGAAGCCTGCTGGGACTGCTCTCTAGGTGGAAGGAGCCGGGTCTGAGTGCTGGTGGTGCTCTGCTAATCTGGGACTCATTCTGAGGCCTGGGACAAACACGCGGTGGGGGTGGGACGAAAAACACGAGCTCCTCCCCCTCCACGTTAGTAGTGCCAGATTTTGTACCACGATTTATTCTTCAAGCCCTTCTCCCCTCCGCTCCCTTTATCAACGCTGTCGTTTTTCCTGGTTGCTACAATCACCCTTCTCCCCCAGCCCCACCCCCGCCCCTCGGGATTTTTCGGAGCCTGCCCCTTGTTATTTATATCCACTGAAGCGGTCCAAGAATGTTCTGCGGCTGACCTAAGCGCCACCTGCTCGCCCCTCTCCTCTTGCTCCCTCCTGCGCTCAACGGCCCAGTGGCGGTACCCTGCGTCCCGGAGACCAAAGGGAGTGCGGTTCGGCTGGCTCCCCCAGCCCTCAGGGGTGCCCCTAGACGGAATGGGGCTGCCGAGCGCGGCTGGGGATCCACCCTTGGCTGTCCTCTCCCACCCCAGCCCCCACTCCCTGAGGGGTGCGCGTCTCTGCGCTCAGATTTTCAGAAGGAAGCGTTGATTTTTAAATCCTGGAGGAGTTTGAGAAGCCACTGAGTCGCTCACAAACCGGACAGGGGCAGTAAAGAGAATGAATGGGAGTCATTCAGGAGTAACATTAGCTGCCTCCCTAAGGTTCCTGGAGGCGCCCAAGATGCTCCACCTTTGACTGTCGGGTTCTGGCCGCGGGCGACAAATCAGCCCTGGGTAGTGGATGTGAAACTCGAGGCCGTGGCTTCCGAAACCAGTTTCAACACCCACTCTCTTGGGGCTTGGACAGGTCTCTTCTCTGCTTATCTCTGCTTCCACCTTTATTAATCTTGGCAGGTGACCGGGCTGACCTTTCACTGGGCCCTGGGCCCCAGCTCATTAGCGATTGTAAAACAACTGCAAATGGGAAAATGTCTAACAACAGCCACAGTGCTTTGTGTATTATTTTTAAATCAGTTAACAGCCTACCTAGTGCCTGAGGGCCTTTACATACCTGCACAGAAAGTGTGAAAATGCAAGGATGAAATTAATTACAGGAGCTACCTATTAAAACCTCATTAAAAAGTAAAGTCGGCAGCCAAGCTCTGGGATCTGGGGAGGCTGAGCCTTGGAGACTGCAGGGAAAGGGCCATTCATCAGAGGGAAAGGGAGCGGGCTGTGCACGGGAAAACATCTGGCTTCCCTTGGGTTCAGAGCGGGAAGCAGAACACAGACTGTCCGCAGCTGATTTCATTGTCCCAAAGGTACTGTAGAGAAAACCACATAAACCGAAACCCACAGCACCCTGGGCTGCCTCAAATGTGAAAGGACACCGTGGTGCTCTCAGAAAACCAACTCTGCCCCAGTGCCACCCCCGCCCCCACTAGATATCCAGCCAGGCAGCCAGGAGATGCTTCATCAGGAGGCTTCATAGTGCCGTCCTCCACCCAATAGGGTTCAAGGTGAATTACCAAGGCCCTGGGATCAGGTAAAGACAGAAACCCTGGGAGAGGCAGCTTCCCAGGAGCCAGACTGGTCTGCAGCCAAAGAACAAGACACTCAGACTCACCTTGAGTTTCTGGAATGCCCTGAGCTCCGTGCCTTCATTTGTTTATTTGTTTATTCATTCATTCATTCATTCCCCCAGCCTAGAAAACATTTGGATTTTTCCTCTGACCTCTACCCTTCACTGGATTTTTGGGGATACATGCAAAATAAAGCTGTGCCCTAAGTGTCCACCAGCAATGCCACATGAACCATGAGGGGACAAAAGTGGAAGAGACCTCCTCTCCCAAGGACCTGGCACCAGGCTGGCCTTGATGAGTAGCAATTACTCATGTGGAGAGGCATCTTCTAAGGCATGCCAAACCCGGGGGATGTTAGCTTGTGATTTTGTGACCAAGCAATTCTACTTCTGAGTATCAACCCTGGACAAACATATCCGTGAGGGCAGGAGGAAAGGCAAGGATGTTGGCATATAATCTATCTATGGTCAGGGAAACTGGAAAAAGTGACCATCGGGGTGCCATCTATAGTTACCTAACTGAAGTCCATCCCGCCATAACTCTGCAGTCCTCCAAGAGCAAGGCAGAGAAAGAGACTTGGTCTGGTTTTGTTCTGCTCTGGTCTTTTGCTTTTTTGCAGTGTGAAGAATGGGACCCAGAGCCATGTACATGTAGACAAGCTACCCCCAGCCCAAGAGACACTTCCACAACACAGTTGACTGAGAGAAGTAATATACAGAGCATTCTAACTACTTAGAGAAAATAGAGCGAATTGATTTTGGTAGCGAACTGTAAGGAGCCATCTCCTACTGGTAAGGGATATTTTTGAGTGCTAGTGTGGAGGAGGCATTTGCAACTGACCCCAAGGCCTTCATACTGAGCTGCATCCCCAGCACTGTTTTTATTTTTGAGACAAGCTCTCATTAAGTTGCTAAGGAGCCCAGGCTGGGCTCAGATTTGCCATCATCCTCCTGCTTCAACTGCCCAGAGTGCTGGGATTATAATGTGCACCCCTGCCCTGCCCACTTTAGTGTCAGAATCAATATAATGAAAGACCAAGGGTGTGGCTCCGAGGCAGAGACCTGCTAACCACACAGGAAGCCCTGAGTTTGATCTCAGGCAGGCACCCATGCATGCATGCATGCGCATGCACGCGTACACAAAGAATCATGACAGGCAGAGCTAGTGCCACATGCCTGTCATCCCAGCAGTTGAGGCAGGAGCATCACCACAAGCTGGAGACCAGCCTGGGGTACATAGCAAGAGTCTATGGGGAGGAGGGGCGAAGAAGGGGAGGGGGAGGAGGAGGAGGTGG